CGTGTGGCGAGCCGGGTCCAAGATCCCGATCTCCCGAAAGCCCTGCCGGAGGGCCTGCCTGCACAATTTAAGAGTGACTTGGTGTGGGAAGGGTCAACCCTGGCCAACGACTATGACTGGACCTATGTGCTTAGTAGCGAGCAACTGGACGAGCTGGATGCAGCCCTAGCTCATTTCAAATGTAGGGAACTAGCTTTCCTCATTGACTGATTGCATGGCTGACATGGACTTAGCCTTGGGATTAGCTCTTGGCCACATCAACCAGGAGACGTTCCCATTGCCCAAGCTCCACCCTGAGCTCCGGAAGCTTTCTCACGAGCTGCACAACGGGCACGGATTCTTTGTGATTCGGGGTCTGCGGGTCGACGAACATACAAGAGAAGAAAACATCATTATCTACGCCGGTCTTTCTTCTCACATCGCACCCCAGCGTGGTCGTCAAGATAGGCAGTATGATGGCAAGCCGGCCGACGTTGTGCTTACCCACATCAAGGATCTGACCCTCACGAAAGAGAAGGGTCAAATCGGCAGCCCAGCATACACAGCAGACAAGCAGGTATTCCACACAGACGCCGGCGACATCGTCTCCCTTTTTGCGCTTTCAACCGCTGCCGAGGGCGGCACTAGCAAATTGGCGAGTATTGCCCGGGTCTACAACGAGATCGCCAAGACGCGTCCTGATCTGATCCATACGCTTACCCAAGACTGGCAATTCGAAGTGTGAGTTTAGCTGTGCCCTTCGCCTGGACTTGGTCTGTTCATGACCGGATGGCTCCATGAACATCATTACCCATTACCCATTACCTGTGGATATCCAGAACCATGCCCATATCTTACTCCACAATTTGTGCCCAAACCCTGGCATACTGCGTTCCTCTTACTACCTATGGAATACCCAGTTACTGATTATTATGACCGCCCAGCTTCGGAACGCCTCAAAAGTCGTTCACATCTCGGCCACTTGTCCACTATCAACCTGCCACAGAAACAACTCCTGAACGGCTGGCTGTACAGTACGCGCGTCGTTACTTCGTCGGCTACGGCGCACTTCCAAGAAGTGCCGAAATCCCTCCCATCAGCGAAGCACAGGCCGAGGCGCTTGACACACTACACTTCCTTGGAGAAAAGTTCGCTGTCTCTTTGGACTTCCAGAAGGGTGATATCCAGTACGCCAACAACATGGGGATCTTCCACGCCCGTGATGGTTTCACCGATACTCAAGACCAACAGTAAGTGACGAGTCAAGATAGCAAATGCGTCTGGCGAGACTAACAGTTTTGTTTGCAGACGCCACTTGTTGAGGCAATGGCTTCGCGATCCTGAATATGCATGGGAGACGCCTGAGCCGTTGAAGGAGCGTTGGGGACAGCTTTATAATGGAGTCACACCCGAGGCGCAGGTATTCCCGCTTGAACCGTTCATCCGAAGCGAAGGAAACAAGAGTAAGGGGCGGGAATGATGAGGCGATGTAGAGGATTTGCATGCCATAAATATCAAGAGCATGACTGATCTTGGAATCGGCCGTTTGCTCCTCAATTAAAACCCTAGAACCATTCCCCTGCAGCCAATCAATGAGCACGGGTCGTAAAGAGAATCCTTTAAGGCAGAGAAAACGTGGCAACCTGCCCTGCCCGAATTCTCGGCGTGAGACAGCCCGCCAGCCGAAGACCTCTCTTCGGTGCCTCGACAAAGGCCGCCAAGACTTCCAAACACGAGCTATCATCTCTGGTGACAGGGCACCGAAGACGAGAGGTGACACCCATCCTCATGACGGCCATGTGGCCCTATCGGATGGGGGCGATAGCAAGGGTTGGGATAAGGTTACACTTGGATAGTAGCTTATTACAAGCCCCGGCACTGCGACCGGGCGCCCGCATTGTTAGTGTAGCTGCAACGGTCGTCATGATCAGCCAGCATTGCGTGCTTCTTGGCTCTGACTGATACAGGAAGGTCAGTACCCTCCACCCTCGTGTATCAATCAGAATGTCTGGCATTTGCTGGTCAAAAGGAAGCATTGTGCCATTTGCGCCCCATCTTCGCGACTCTGGGCAATTCTGCTGGCACTTGGCATTGAAGTAACGTCCACGGCCTCACGAGTCCAGACCATTCAATTCGAGGAACGATGGATGGCCGAGGCGATGTTTAAAGATGAAGCGGTGGAACGCAGGAACCTGGTGTCTGATTCACTTGTCTTCTCCTCGTCCCCGCAATACGCCATCTTCCGCCTTCGATGACGTGCGATCGGCTCTCTTCCGAAGTTGAGGTCGTCTCAGCCATCCCGCACGCTTAATCAGTGGAGCACTTCTCCAGTTACAATCGTGTACCAAGCCACCGGTTTGTGAATATGGTGTTCTCCAAGCTCTCTTCAAGGTTTGGGGGCCCAAATGCCGCAACACACGAGCGCGGTCCAGTCGACTTCGAGGCTTCCGACTCCGAGCACTCCATCATCCGTGACGGAGATCTCGCCTACACGCTCGCGAAGGGAGGAAATGGATCCAAACCGGCATACCAGGAGGCTGTCGGGGCACCTGTCGAGAAACACTCCCCTCTCGGATACCACGTTGGTTGGATTACTGTCATTTTTCTGAATGTAAATCAGATGATTGGCACTGGTATCTTTTCCACTCGTATGGCTACTGATCATTCCCCCGGCAAAAAGGAGCAAGACTAATCTGAGCGCCATAGCTGCATCCGTCCTCAATGGCACTGGATCCGTAGGCCTAGCCTTCATTTACTGGACAATAGGCTTCCTTATGGCTCTCGCAGGACTGAGCGTGTATCTCGAGCTGGCCAGCTACTTTCCTAACCGAAGTGGTGCGGAGGTAGTGTACCTGGAGCAAGCTTATCCACGGCCGAAACACTTCTTCCCTATCGCATTTGCGGTGCAGTCCGTTCTTCTTTCGTTCAGTAGCAGTAATGCAATCGGTATGATGGAAATCACTGGAATCCCAACGCATCTTCAATTACGTCTGCTAATATGAGACAGTCTTGTCACGATACCTCTGGCGAATTGCAGGCAAGATGCCTTCCGCGTGGGAACTAAAGGGAGTTGCGATCGCCGCATACACCTTTGCCGTCATATGTGTTGTCGCTCACAACAAATACTCCCTTTGGGCAACAAACATCATCGGCGCGATCAAGATCATAACCCTCATCTTCATCTCCATCACCGGACTCGTTGTTCTCGGCGGCCATGTCGGTCACATTCCCGATCCCAATGCCAACTTCCGCAATTCCTTTGAAGGAACTACTGATAATGGCAACGACCTGGCTACAGCGCTTGTCAACATTATCTTCTCATACACCGGCTACAGCAACGCTTTCAATGTCGTGAACGAGATCAAGAACCCGATCCCTGTCCTAAAGCGACACGCAACAATCTCAGTGGTGGTTGTGGCTGTGCTTTACATGTTCTGTAACGTCGCCTACTTTGCTGCCGGTACGATGGACCTCATTTACTCATCTTGATTCTGGCTGACTCTGCTGCTTAGTGCCCAAGGCTGAATTCAAAACTGCAAAGGAGATTGCTGCTGCCGTCTTCTTCACCAAGGTGTTCGGGACCGGTCCCGCAGAGCAGGCGCTGAACTTCCTTGTTCTACTCAGTGCTTTCGGTAATCTCTTAGGTGTGCTGATTGGCTCCTCCCGCGTAATCCGTGAGATCGGACGGTATGAACCCCCAATAAAGCCATATTTGGTCAAGATTTAACAGTACCTCAGGCAAGGTGTCCTCCCATGGACCGAGTTCTGGGTGAACACCAAACCCTTCGGAACCCCAATTGGACCGTACTTCCTGAAATGGATCATGACTTTCATCATGATTGCGGCACCTCCAGCTGGAGATGCATTCCAATTTGGTGAGCATCTCTGTTTCTGATGGAAGGCCGCTAGTACTCACATTTCCGCAGTAATCAGCTTGAAGACCTACCCGGACGGTCTGTTCCACTTCGCGATGGCACTTGGAGTTTACCTCATTCGCGTTCGCCGGAAGCGCGCTGGTCTGGGACGAACGGAGTTCAAATCGTGGCACGTGACGGTCATCTTCTTCATCCTCCTCCAGGTTTACATTCTTGTCATGCCTTGGTGGCCGCCAAAGGGTGGCCCGTACGCAGGCAGCGTCAGCTTCTGGTATGCTACATACTGCGTCGTTGGCATCGCCATGTAAGTCAAACTCTTCAAGTCATAAGGACTGGCCTATTGACAGTTTCATAGCCTGATAATCTGCTTTCTTTACTACGCGGTGTGGATGTGGCTTCTTCCCAAATGGCGCGGATACAGGATCCGACCCGAAATCCTTGACGTTACGGACAACGGTGCCAACACGCATCGCCTTGTTCAAGTCCCGCTTTCTGAGTTGGCCCAATGGGATGCCGAACATGATGATGCTGGCAACGTGCGGCGCCGGGCAGTTGTTGGGTCTCAAAGTTCCTCAAAAGGTGATGGTGAGGTTGCAGTCGTTGGAGACCCAGCCACGGGTCAAAAGTACTAGTGCATTTGATTAGAATGGTTCTCAGTGAACGGTGAGCCTGGGAAACAATGTTTGGGTTGGAATTCAATCCGGGCATTTTCGCGCAGTTATTGCAACTATTGAAGTCGCCGGCGTAGGCGATTTGAGAATAACCACTATGCACCCGTGTTGCAGATACTAGCCTATCATTGACACAACAACTCTACCAACCAGTATTCACGGTGTGTTTCGCTAATGATATGACAATGCATCTATCTTGTGACATGCGGTTTCGCGAGATGTAGAGGATTTGAGGTGTGATGACAGTGGCTTAGTGGGGCAAAATTTTGGCCTCAATTGAATCAGTGCGAGTCAGCCTATCACACACCGAATCATCCCGCCACTCGGACAGGATCTCTCGGGCACTCAGATGCAGAGCACAGTTGAGACCGAAGTACGTTGTACATATAAGAGGTTCGTGGTTGCACCTCTAGCTGAATCGGCCGGGTGGAGTGCTTCGGGATGTTGATGTCGGAACACCACCAGTAAGCGAAGAATGGCCTCTCTAACCGATTTGCCTGTGGAGGCTCTCGTCATCATCTTCAATTTTCTCCGACCTCGACAAGAGCCATATGGCATTCACATGCACAAACCTAGCCTGAACACGCGCGATCTCAGCGTCAGGCGTGAACTTGAGAAGCAGGACAACCATCTCATGAATCTGTGCAGCACTTGCAAACTCTTCCGCCTCGTCGCTCAACCGATCGCCTACCAGTCAATTTTCAACTATAATCATATCAACTGGGGATTATCTCTCTCGACGTTCCTCCATCGGTTTGGGAGCTTGACCAAAACCTTGTCCGAAAGACCAGATCTTGCGGCCAACGTCAAGTTTCTGGACATCCAAATGCTTGACAGATTCGGAGACGACGGGCGCATGCCAAGCAAAGCCACACACGAACAGAAGCTCGCGATTTCAAGGCTCTCCTCCGAAATTGACCTTGAAATAAACATCACGGAGGACTGGCTCGACTGGGATATTGCCGAGGCATACTTCCAGATTCTCATGGTCCTGCTTCCAAACCTATCTCATACAAACATCTGTCTACCCGGAAGTTGGAAACTTGAGTCGCTCTCCGCTTGGGCCGCCAGGACCAGCTCAGGCATTGGTCTTGAGCGTCCGTTCCTGGCAAATGTGCGGCATATGGAGCTGGACCACAGGGTTGCGGACTTGAACTCCCGTTACGAGCGCTCTGATTACGAAACACTAGACGACGATGAGATCGAGCACATTTCGAGCTCAGTAGAGAGGCTGTTTGTCGATGCTGCACCCAATCTTGAGCTTCTTTGCTGCAGTGCAGGAGGGTTAGACAGCCTTCCGCGCCTGGAAAAGCTCGACACATTGCAGATCATGATGAAGGGCTCATGGGATGGAATGCTCCCTAAGGTCATGAAGGGGTTCCCCAGCCTGAGACGCCTCAGTTATAAATCAACCACAGACTACTGCCCATCGCCCAAGCAGGTGAGAGAGGCTTTGGAGGGTCACAAACACACCTTGGAGTACCTTGACATGTCCCTGCAGCGATGCATTTGGTGGCCCAGCTGGCGACCAAAATCACAAAGGGACTATGAAGCGTTCTCATTCGCCGACTTTACATCTCTCAAGACCCTTAACTTGGATGCAAGCGATGTCTGGCCCGAGACACTTTACGATGGACGTGGAGAAAAACAGTCAGATTCAGGATTACTTCCGGATCTCTTGCCTGCGTCTCTTGTTGAGATACATGTGGATGGTTTTCTGTCACATGGCGAAGAAAGCTTCAAATCACTCGCCGAAGCCATGGCGAGCGGAAGGTTACCAAACCTAACATGTGCCTTCTGGCGTGCAGGTGCACACATGCAAGTTATTGATCAAGAGACTGCAAAAGGTGTTCATAATCCAGAGACTAGATGGAGAAAAGACGTCCTGGTAAAGGTTCGAGACCAGTCTGAACTCGCCTTCCCGGCTTGGATGGAAGCTTATGAGGAGGCTGTATCAAAAGAGAAGATCAGTGGAACTTCAGCATAGCTTAGCGAGACAATGTTGCACATCACTTGTTTGCCTTTGACGTGGGATAGGAATGCTTCGCGAGATGTGACCCAGAGATCGATGCCGATTGCATAGTTCGGCTTTAAGGCAACAGCAAACTGAATTACTAGTGGGAGTTGAAGTCACATTCTCATCTGTGAACGCCCACTCATCCAACGAGATGCCACTTAGTTCGAGATATAGATATCCGATTGGCAGGTTTCATTATCCATGCTAGCTTGGGGGCCGGATAGATTCCTCCAATAAGATTACGCTTCGTGATTACTCATCATACCCCTGCTCAACTTAAGCACAGTGAAAAGTCTCCGCACCGATCGGACATATTTCGCCTTCTCACCACCTCATCTTACCAACAACCCCTTCCACATATGCCCAGGTCTGTGTTATCGAAGACGATTCGAAATATTCCGTAATCGCCTATCATAATGCCTTCGCGAGGGACGGGGAGGGGCTCGGCTACACAAGCCGTTCGTGGATCTTGCGAGGCCTGCAGTATGTACTTTTTCGGCGGGTCGGAGTATTTCGGTATGCTAAACAATGATGCAGGACTTAGGAAGGTCAAGTGTCCTGGCGAGCATCCAATTTGCTCAAAATGCCATGCATCGAGAAGAGAATGCCATTACTCGCTCCAGAAACCCATGGGAAGACCCAGAAGCGCGCGTCAACCCAATCGTCAAAGGCGGCTGATACAGTCGGAACACACCCTACAATCGCCCTCGCCAGCAAATGTCTCCGAGATATCAACAACGGCTGCCTCAGATGCAGGAACGGAGATTTCACAGACCTGCACGAGTGATCTGAGCAGTGATGAAGCACTGGCGCCCGAACGAGGCCAGGGAGAAGATGGGTTCGAGATCCATCAGTGCCTGCTGAACCTGGGCCAACCACGGTAGCCCCTCATTTCCAATCGAATTCTCCAACAGGTGCAATGCTGACCCTGCCTTTTTCCATTAGAACCAGGGCAGACATAGTATTGGAGAGTCAAGCTGCGTTTCCCCCTATCTCAACCGCGACTCAGCCGGCCGCAGGCGGTTGTGCATGCCTCTCTGTTCTTTATCTTCTCCTCGAGCACCTTCGAGTCAAAGACCAGCTGACGGCCCCGAACGACTTTGCCCTCTTGAGGAGTACTATCAAGTCGGCATCTGAGGTCCTTACGTGTCAGAAGTGTCCGTTGCGATACTTCTCTATTGTCCAGAATGCGGCATTACTCGGAGTACTGTGCCTCTGCGTCGCAGAATCATATCATAGAATTGTGAGGTCGATCGACGAGGAGGAGAAGCGAGCATCAGCAGCAGGCGAGAAGAAGCAGCTTGGCATACACAATGATGTTGAACAGGCAAACCAGCCTTCCTTGGCTACCGCCTCCCCGCTCTTTCAGGTAGAAGTATCCCCGAGTCAATGGGGAAGCATGATGCGAAATCTAGTTAAAGCAGAGGTCTTTGGTATCGAGGGGCATCGGGACAAATGCCTGCAAGGCTTCATCTCACGGCTTGAGCAGCGACAGCGGCGATGGCATCAGACGCCACCTGCTCCAGATTGCCCACCGAGCTATCGCTCGCTCTGTGGTTCGTCAGACCGGGAGCCGACCTGCCTCAAGCTCATTGATAACTCGAAGCGACTCATTGGCCTGCTTGAGGTGTAGGTACCCTTGAGCTCACCTTTGTACTTAGCTCCAAATTTCAGGAGACTGGATTCCTTGCCGGGCCATCCTTGAGTTTTCCAAATCGAGCAAACGGTTCGTTGCTGGGATCTTACAAGGATCTTCGCCCATTGATCGTGATCTGTACTGATTGCAATGACGCGAAGGCACATCGGACAAACATTCAAGGGTTCCTGGACAGCCCCAACACGTGGGAAATGGCAACCAACTGTGCATATCCCTGGTGACAACGGTCTTCACCACGGAAATTCCTGCCGTCTCAAGTGTCGTCCTTCTGACAGTCCCTTGTCAATCATCACATCTACAAAGCTACTGCCTGAACTGATGAGGATTGGCATGCGGTCGCTCAAAGTCGTCCAGGCGTGCAGCATCAATCTTCTCCAGGTTCGCCCACTGGTATGCAAAAAAAGCAAGCAGACATGAAGTGCGAGCCAGTCATTTGCTTACGGCCGATAGTACCAACAATGCACTGATTTTCGCCGCACATCATTGGCCTGTTGGTTGTCTTCGACACCACATCAAGGCCTTTCACCTGATTATTCTGCACTGCGCCAGCATGGTGATCAACCTGGAAGTCCAGATTCTTAGGCCCCTGTCGGTCCTGTCTTCTCCGCTCGCCTCGCATGAACAGAAATCAAACGCAGATGGGTGACCACGGGGGATTCTCATCAGACGCCAACGCACTTTGACGAGAGGTCCCGATGGGATTTAAGAAGCGTATCAACGGCAACCAGACCACGATTCCAACCCCAAAAAGCCAGTATCCCATCCTGATAGAGCCGAACTCTCGCGTCATCAACACTGAACCATCGCCTCCCCAGAGAGACTAAGCCAAATATAGCCCAGATCAATGTGCCGGATCACATTGTTTTCCAGCCAAGACCGCGTGTTGGATCCGTCGCATCCTGGTTTCTTTTTCTCCGTCCATGTTGTTGGAAGAAACCTGGAGGAACCCCACACCTCGCGTCGGTGCTTTCTTTTTCTAGGCTGGGTCGCGCCTTGAACGTTGGCTGATACCAGAAGCCTGGTAGACTTTGCAGTCACCATGTTTATGATTAGAGACCTCGAAAAACGACGGATCATATTTCAGCCATCCTTTGGGTGTTGATGGCTTCGACCATTGTGCCGGCACCCTGGCTTGCACTCGACCATGACTGCCCCCCATGCAGACATAACCCAGTGTCCTGGGACGCGCTTCCAGCTCAATCACTTCTGCCCTTGGCTTCGCGAAAATGACATTTATTGATATAGAGAAGGCGGCGCGATTTGATGTTCACTCGGCACCGGCTGAACCTTTCCTTCACCCTAATGCTAAAACAATGTCCTAGCCTACGTTGAGCACTATATTGTTGTTTTCCTGCCTTTATTTCCAACAGCCAAAAGAATGAACATTCCTCCGCTTTCCACTACAGGCATAAATGCTCGAGATAGTGCGATGCCCCCAGATGAAACGGTCGGGCCTGTGTGGCTAGCCGTATCGACAACCCTTATCATTATTCTCTTCATCACCACCGTCCTCCGCCTTTGGGTCCGCATAGCTCGTCGAAATTTCGGCTGGGACGATGCGACGATTGCCTTGGCTGCAATATTCGCTACTGTCAGATATGCTATTGCAGCGATGCAGTTACCCCACGGCAATGGAAGACACCGTATGTACCTCAGCGACTACGATTACAAGATGATCAACATGTACGGCTGGTATGGACAGCTGTTCACTTCACGTCGATGGCATGTCTCAAGTGCTCTATCTGCGCGCTGGTCCTCCGGCTCAATGATAAGAAGGGGGTACGAATATTCATCTACACCATCATCGCCAGCGTACTGGTGACAAACATGGGCGTTGTGGTCGTTCTCCTGGCAGAGTGCCGACCGGCAGGGTTCTGGAGAGGACCATCAGCACAGTGCTGGCCAAACAAGATTCGGATTTACTGGATTTACGCTACCATAGGTGAGTCTTGCGGGCGTCTCTATTGTTTTTCTTGTCGCACAAGTGCAAATCACACACTCTCTCTTTATGAGATGTAATATCTGAATGCTAACGACAAATTCAGCACATTCCGTTCTGACCGATCTCATACTCTCGTTCATCCCCTTGACATTGATCTGGAAAGTCAACATACCCCCTCGGAAGAAGGTTCTGGTGATGTGCCTGATGAGTCTCGGCCTTGTCGCGTCAGGCTTCGGAATCACTAGAGCAGCATTCCTGGGGGTATCCACTGAAGATCTCAGCTGGACGTTCTGCATCGTCGCCATCTGGTCCAACCTCGAGCTGTTTCTTGGTATCGTGGCTGCGAATCTTGCACTATCCAGAGCGGTTTATCTGTACTTTCGAGGACAATGTGACTCATCAACAAAAGATCGGTCACATCCATCGTCTGCGGGATATGTCAACAGTGGGCTTCCAAGGGGCCGACTCAACTTAGCCCCCACCCTGATTAGCTCGAGTATCAGACGACAACTATCAGAAGCAAGAAGTTCAAGTAGCGATATACCATTGGAGCCATGCATCCACAAGGGGACTGGTTCTAGTGGAGCATACGACAGGTGAAATCAGCCCGACAAATGTATCAATATAGCTGATAGTGGACAAAACCCTACGGAAGCAGCGAAGCAATAATTTCAATGTTGCTTTACCATGTTGGATTATCTGCTCATACCTTATGCTTTAGGATAGATGGTGTTTGCGCAAGACAAGATAGTATGGAGCAATAGAAGAGCGTGACAATTTGCAATCGCATGTACCAAACATTTGGTCTCTGACGAGCTCGTAGGATAATGCGCTATGGCTCAAACAACCCGCTGAATGTACGCTTTATCCACATAGTTGGGGGCTATCTGGTCATCAGAGACCCGTTTGAGTTCGTACTTGTTGCCGGGATGAACCTTTACAACGACGAACGTATCGGAGGGATTATAGCCCCGTTCCGTGACGACAACCTTCTCCCCTATTTCCAAGATGTACTGCCGAATTGCGTTAGATGACTGCGCAGTAAAAGTGATTCACGTATTTTCCTACATCTACGTTGAAAGTAGACAGGCTTCGGTCAACGTATGATTTTCCATCATCATTGGGGTCAGAAGACTTCTGCACCAGGGCTTTGTCAACAGAGAAGGTTTAGCAACTTTCAGACGTATCACTCACTTGGGAGTTGGTTTTTTCCATTTCGGCATTAGGTACCTAGTAGTAGCCAGAGACTGCAGAGATTCAAGACTACAATAGATTAAAGGTCCAAACTGGTTCAATTGGTCGAATTAAATAATCTGTCGGAGTGCACCTGACCTATGTGCGTTCAATCAAATATGACATCAGCACTTGGCTCGCCATAATGGTTACACAGCAGCATCCAATGAGCAAGCGTTGCCGGGCACCGCCTGACTTAGCCTGGACACAGCTCCGGGAAACTGCCTTGGGCTGCCTCACGTTGTACCAAAAGAAGGCTCCTGCCACGTCAGAGTCATATATCTGCGAAGTGGCATCGCTGTAAACGCTCAATTGTCGGGTGCCGGTGTTATTTTGTGCAAAAGGACATCTTCACTTTCGGACCATTGTCCAGTTTTGTTTCGGAGCGCAAAGTCCCTTGTTATTGACAAATTCAACCATGGCCAAATTACCGGTGCCCCTTCTCAAGATGGGTACACGAAGCGCGCGACATGTTCGCGACAAATCACTAATGGGCGTCGACAGAAGATTACCAACGAGGCTATCCTTTGCTGGCCGCCTTCCTTTCGATGGACGAGAACTTCACGATTGTCAAGAGATTTGACTACCTCCACATGAGATGTATTCTCGAACAGCAAGATGCCCTTGCTGAGCTGGAAGATAGACTGAACAAGGTAGATGCTCAGGAAACTGTCGAGCTAAGGCTTTGCAGCCGACGGCAAGACGATAACTTGGAGCGTCGCCAATTGTTGAGGGATATCAATAGCAGCCTGAAGGAATATGGTACCGTGTTTTCGTCTCATTTCATCCAACATTCACGCTTAGTGATTAGCGGGCAATGAACTGATGTGTATCCCCATCAGACGAGGCCATTCAACGCTTTTCAGCAGCTCTCCGGATACCTGAAGCACAGCCCAGGCAGAAACGAAGTATACACCACTGGTTTCAAGCAAACAAGCCGTTAGTGAGGTCAGAATGCCGCATTTACGACCAATGTGTAGACCACGATGACTATACCGCTCTTGCGTCTCGGGATATTGATCGAGCCGCTCTGGAGGGTATTTTGGATATGATACTCCAGACCTGTCCGTACATGACGGAAGATGAGGGGTGCCTTGACATGACGTAAACGTGTCCTGCGATGGGTGGCCGAGGCAACGCCACAATTTGCACTTTTCATGTCGGTAGATGCTATGACAACACCTCCTCAGATTTTGACCTGTGCTGCGGTCGGCGCCTTCTCTCTCGAAATATCATTTCGGGCAAGGCTCTGGTTACACCACATACTGCCACTTCGCTCCTCGTCAACAGTCGCCTGAACATCTTTGACGGGGTATGCCTTGAGAGACTCTGTTCCCTTAATCTGAGGAAGCCACGTATGCTTACGCAGCTGAGGCTAGCCCAACGAAGACAATCCTATTCTCTTGGCTGCGTCACGGTCTGCCTAGTGACTGTACACCCACCAGCGTAACGATGATTGGGCGGACATATCTAGACGATGTGACATTTAACAATAGTCTTGACATTGATCTCGTTTAGCAGGCATTGTGGAGTAACAATTTGAGCAAGCACTGCCGCTAGCATTGGATTATCCAAGGCTCCGATTTCGAAGAAACCTTCCGCGTCAAACCTCCAGCCGCAAATGTCTCAAAGGCGACATTCCAGGTCTTTGCAGCCCTCCAAGGCAGTACTGGTTTCCTGGGAGGTAGATCCAGAGTACCCAACAACCGTAACACTTGCAGAACTGCTTGAGAACAAGTTCGGCTACACCACCGCATCCCTGCGCCTTCCTCAGCTCGATGCTGAGAGGCTCCTCGCCGATGAAATTAGAAATCACATGAGCGAACTTCCCACTGACGGAGGTAATCCTTTTGTTCTGTATTATCGAGGAGGCGGGAGTTCTTCAAACAACGGTAGTCAGCTTCATTGGAAATCGTAAGTAGGACGGCGACGCCATCGACTGGAGTGCTAAAGAGACAGTCGCTATTAGCTGTATTCTACTTCCGTGCTGATGTGCTATGAATAGGCAGAATGGCTCGGGGGAGATTGATTGGCTTGACCTCCGAGAGGAACTTTTCGATCTCTGCCCTAAGGACGTACTAATCGTCGTCGACTGCAACCATGGATCAATATCAACCGCCCCAGAGGCCTCGCCGCTCAACTTGGCTCGTTCTGTTGAGCCGTTGGAAGGGAGAGGGAAGTTGGAAATCCTGGCTGCGCCCCAACGGAGGGAACCATATCACCATCTGCGTTTCACAGAGGTTCTGATAGGAGGACTGCAACGCCTAGCAACGAAGAGGAAGCATTTTCTTATCATGGACCTCGTAACGGAAATGCAAAACTCCTTTGGTCCAGATATGCCAGTCTTGCGCTATAGACCGTTGCCTACGCAAGGTGACGAACTGGATTTGGAGGTCCACTCATCAACAACGCGAGGACGCCAAGCAAGCCTACCGGTTAGCCTCAACGGCTCTATTCCCAGCGCATTACCAGCTCACTCTTCCAGTAGCTTAGGGTACCAGAGCGTAACTATTTTGCCAATCACTTGGATAAATATTGAAGGATGGGACGCATATGGGGAACTAAAGATTCTCCTTGATGCGTTTCGCCGTCACTTCGACTACATCATTGCACCTACCGTACAAATCCAACAGAATTCTGGAGCACATAAATTCGTAAGAAAGGAGATAGCTCGTCGCTTAAACAGCCTTGGAAAGCGGGACTTACTGATTGTCATTTACAATGGCCATGCCAGTGATGCGTACGCAAAGGATAACCGGATGTTACTTTCGTGAGTAGGCCCCCTCTTTCAAGCCCTTTGCCGAAGGGAATATTCTAACCACAAGACCAGAGAGAGTGCCATTGCTGCGAAAAACTGCACAGTCGACTGGACTGAGCTCACTAATGAGCTTAATCGCGGTGACTGCGATATAGTACAAATTTTAGACTGTTGCTACGCTGCGGGAGCGACAAAAGGTGAAAGCCTCATATCACAGGAAACTTTCCAAGCAGAAAAGCTCGCACAGGCTGCAAACTCCGCTACCGATGTACCTGAGTTTCAGGGGAGGAATGAGACACTCGCGGCATGCGGCAGGGATACTAAGACAGCGGCTGGAGAGCACTCATCCATGAAATTGTTCGCCAGTTTGCTGCATGATTTGGCGAAGAAACAGGCAGAATTCTCAATCCATGAATGGTATAGCCACATAGACACCGTGGTTGGAGGGCAGCCGACTAGGCAATGGTGCACCCCTTACCACAAGATGAACCCACCAGACCAGTTACAGAAAAGCATTGTGCTACGCACAAAACGGGGGGGTGGCAGTAACATGCATTAAGTAACAGATATATCTGTCTTCCTCAACTTTTGGCCTTCGGGTAATTCATGATTTTGGTTGATATTTGTATGTCATCACAAACTACCTATGCAAACAAGGAAGGAAAACTTTCTTCTAATAATGAGGTAAACTTGAATTACCGACGCCTTCCCACTATGGTTTGTAAAACTGGATCCCTCGAAGATCAACTTTGGTATTCCGCTGTGCGGACGTGGATACACAGTAAATGATAAGAGCTGTAACGACCTCGAGTGCTCATTCAAGGGCCCCAGCAAGGCCGGCGTCTGCACTATCAGCGACGGAGTCATGTCGTTGGTCGAGATCGAGCAGTTGATTGAGAAGGGCTTGACACCGAAATACATCTCAGACGCTATAGTGAAGAAAATCACATGGGATGGTCAGTGGATTGGGTGCGATGATGCTGATACCATCAAGGAGAAGAAGGCATGGACAGATAATCAGTCTTTTGGTGGAACCATGGCATGGAGTGTGGACTTCAACTCGGGTGCCGGAAGGTAAGAAGCATTCCAGTAGCCTGGCATTAAATCCTAGTCGTCTTTGCTGACACATACCAGTGATCTGGAGCCTACGGACACCACGGACGGTACTCTTGGCCACGCAAATGGTAACACAATCTGCGGAGATTGGCCTCAGGGCAACTGTTGCTCAAGGTTCGCCTACCTTCTCATTGAGTTCTTTTGTCTGATTCAAACCTGAGCTGGAACATTAATCACTAATAATCTGTTTTCAGTGCTGGATGGTGTGGGAACAGCGATGCTCATTGCGGTAGCGGATGTCAGTCCGACAATTGTGTCAGTGGGCGAGAGACGACTGAGGGAACTTGTGGACTGGCACACAAAGACACAATCTGTGGATCAAAGTCCCAAGGAGGCTGCTGTAGTCAGGCTAGCTTCTGTGGCAGAACTCAAGCGCACTGCGGCGAGGGTTGTCAGTCTGGACCATGTGGATGGAGAGTCTTGGGTGCGAGGAGCGGATTGCAATCGTTACAGGCTCCTAACATACCTAGATTGTGGAAAGCCATGCTGATGG